GGTTAGAGCGCAGAGTTTATGAAGTACATTGCCATGGTTCAACTTGTGAATTGTGAATTATCCCATAGTAGGGAGTAGTTTTGGACGACATTGGGGCAGTTTAGGAATCACAGTTAAAAAACCAAATATGTTTCACTTTTTCAATTCGCGGACCTGAACGGGAAAAGTAAAAATAAAAATATCAACATAAAATTGTGTTTAATGTAAACAGTACTACAACAAATTACTACAACAAAGTAGTTAGTACTGCGTTAGACCTAAATCCAAGCATTGTCAGGTAGTACTTCCTAATTTTGTTTTGATGTCATCAGAAAATGAAAAAGCTTTATAATAGTCACCTACAAAAATACGCTGTTTGAAAAAAAAAAATAAACAATAAATGGAAGAAAAGATTTGGTCTAACGATATTGCAGAAGTTATTAAGGAAGGAGTTAATACGAATACAGGAAAAAGAATTTTAAAGCGCATTTTAAAAGCGATTTTAAACCCAAACAATGTATTTGATGAAACTTCTGCAAAATGGCTAAAAATATTGATTGCTGGTGGTTTATCTCCGAGAGATTATTTTAAGAAACTACACGACTATGATAGTGCATTAGTTTGTGGTTTAATATGGAATGCAAATTTTTTTGCATATAGATGTCGAGATTGTGGTATTTCTCCTTGCATGTCTTTATGTGCAGATTGTTTTTTAGCAGGTAATCACGAAGGTCATGATTTTAATATCTTTAAAAGCCAAGCAGGTGGAGCATGTGACTGTGGTGATGAAACAGTATTGAAGAAGGAAGGGTTAGTTTTAGATATAAAATATTTTTTTTTAGTTTTTTTTTAATATTGCAATTGAGTCTTGCAAATTAAAAATTATTTATTTAAAGCTGAATATCGTTGCTGCAAAACAAGACTTAAGTCCATTTTTGCTGTTCTGAGAAAAAGGTTTCATCAATAAGATAATTTTTATAAGACATAAACTTCAACATTTCAGCACTTGCGCTCTAATATTTTTTTCCATATTTTATTGGTAATAAAATTCAATTTAAGTTTTGAAACCCCCATTGATTAGATTATCAACATTCACTTTAGTAATATTATATTAAAATAAAATCTGTTTATTGAAAATCACGCAAAAAATACTTGTTAAACCTTAATTGACTTAAATACCATACAAAACAGCTAACCATTAAATCATATTAACTTAAGTTAAAGTAGGTATACTTAATATTATTTCTACTTTGATTTTAAAAGCATAATAGCATAAAAGTATGACAACTTTTTTGTGAAAAAGGGTAAAATCGATTTAAAAATGGAATTCTAGTGTTTAAGATTTTATAAAATTGGCTCATAACATTAAAAAAAAAAAACTGAACATGAATGTTATAGTATTTCATATTATACTATATAAAAAAATATTTAAAAAGATAATAAAAAAGAGAATACACAACATATTGGTACATTTAACTGCATTTTTTCATATGTTTTTTAACTGCATTTTTTAACTGCATATGTATTAATAAATGCTGAAGCATCCATTACAGTTTAGGATGCTACTATTTTTTTCTGCAACCATCCAAAATAACCTTATAAAACAACTGAACTTTTATCTCTTAAAATATGAGCCTTGTAAATAAACCTTGTTTCTATTGCACAGAAAAACAAGTTGATACAGTTCTTAAACTACTGTTTATGAACTGTATCAACTTGTTTCTCCTATAAAAGAAAAAAATATTTGACTACAAAAAAAATTTTTATTACATATTTTTTTGAAATACTTGTCATAAACAAAAATTTATTTTATATATATATATTATATAATTATTTTTAAAATTAACAAAATGTTTTTAATTCTTGACATGTTTCGTAAAAATTTATTTACATTTTCAAAAGATTATTTTACAATAATAAAACTCTGAAATAAATATTAAAAAATAGAAGTCTTTACAGAGAAATAATAACGGACAAAAATTTATATAATGAACCAATATATTTATTAGAAAATAACTTGGTAAATAACCAATCAAAATAACTCACTGTCAAAAAAAAAAAATTAATAATAATGATAAACTAACAGTAAAGTTAAATAGACAAGTTTATAGCATATTGTGAAGTTTGTTTATTAAGTGAGGGACTTTCCCATCTAATGTGGAGGGCTTCTTCTATCTTTAATTTGTGTTTGGTTGGGGCATTATCCAAAATCTCAAAAGAATCACAGTTAGCCAGATTAAAAATGGCAATTATAGCATCCACATACCGTTTACAAAATAATGGTGCTGTAAAGAAGCAGTTATTGATCCATGTTTGTTCATGAAATCCGACAAAAATATTAGCTAAGATGGGTGCTAAAGGATTAACTAAATAAATTAAACAATTTTAAAAATGTATTCTACAAAATAGAGTGCTCAATGTTTTTAAAAGAACAGAGCAATTATAAATTAGTAGAAAATCACTTTACAAATTTTTTTTTTTCATTTTACTCTGCGTTTCATCAACAAAGACTCATCAGAAAATCAGAAAAAGATTTTCTGATGAATCTTTGTTGATGAAACACAGTGTAAAATAAAACAAAATTTTTTTAAAGTGATTTTCTACTAATTTATATATATATATATATATATATATATATATATATATATATATATATATATATATATATATATATATATATATATATATATATATATATATATATATATATATATATATATATTATATAGTATATATATATATATATATATATATATATATATATATATATATATATATATATATATATATATATATATATATATATATATATATATATATATATATATATATATATATATATATATATATATATATATATATATATATATATATATATATATATATATATATATATATATATATATATATATATTAGTGATATACCGATTAATTGGCATCGGCTTAATCGGCCATTTTTTGCACAATCAGAATTGGTATCGGCATCAGCCTTTTTTTTTTACCGATTTTCCAACTGATGGCATTTTAATATTTTTATCCTGCATTATTATAATAGTTAAAAAATAAATAAAATAAACTTTGTGCATTACTTAGAATTTTTTAGATAAATTTTTATTTTGACTTTGTTTACAGGCAAAAGCTTTAAAAGTAACCTATTTAAGTAAGTACTACAATAGTTATTTGTCTGACAGCAAGTTATTTGACTTGAGATGGAATGTGAGAAATTTGTTTATCAAAGGCTCAAAGAACTTGCTAATAACAGAAAGAAGACTGATTGGGCAATAATCGGAGAGGTCAATAAGTTTACCAGAGTGTTTAAAAAATAGAACAACAGATGCCATTTTCCAGTAGGCAGGAAAACAAGATTCAGTCAAGCACTTATTAAATAGTTTAGAGAAAATTGAAGAGAGTTCTGGAGAACAATTTTGTTAGACTGTGACAGAAATGTTGTCTGGACCTCAAGCCATAGCAGAGTTTAATCGAGATATGACTATGAGCAATGGAAGCTGAAATGATTTGAATGTCTAACAATGGGTTAACTTGTTTAATTAGAATGGAAGGAAGAGAATGGCCATAAGATTTGAGAATCGAATTAGAAGAGAATTTCTTTGCAAATAGTTCAGCCTTATTTCATGTATTTAAGTATAGCCAAGTACTAAGTATATTTTTAAATTTTTAATTTTTTATATTTCAATTTACCTTCCTAAGGCCACGAAGGCCACTTCAATTGAGAAGGCTACTTTAGTTATGGTTACAACCCACTTTCAACTTTAGAACTCAGAAACACTAGCCTTGGTGAACAATGCCTCTGTGTGTAGAAACAAGTTAAACTCTGTACTACCAGGGATGTGGTGGGGATCCAACATCACAAATTAAAATAATTCTAAAAACAATTTATCTAAAAATAATTTATGTCTAAAAAATACATGATTGTTGTTTAGATATCTAAATTGCTAATAAATTGATAAAAAATTCTAAGTAAACTGCATATGCATATTTTCTTTTTTTAAAATTAAAATCAAAAGCGTTCCTCTAAAATTGTATTTTATTTTATTGAAAGTTTTCTTTTCATAGTAGAAAAAAAATAAAAATGTTTATTTTTTTTAACTGAGTTTTTCTAATATCTTTTAAAATAATTGTTTGGCTTTGATTTGAGTCCAAGTATTTGTTATATATATATATATATATATATATATATATATATATATATATATATATATATATATATATATATATATATATATATATCAGGCCTTGTTAAGAATCGTTACGCAGCTCGCATTTTATCTGCGAAAAGGCGATTTGCCTACGCATTCAGCAGTTTTGCGTTATGCAAAAACTTTAATCTTTTAGAATATTTAAATTATCATTTGGTATCGTTTGTGTGACGTTTATTCAGAAGAAAATAAAGTCGTAAGTAAAAGCATTTAACCGCAATTGTAAACTTATAGATTTTTTGTTAAAGAAAAATTTGTTTAATTATTTTTATTGTTGTTGTTAAAAATTAGTTTAAAAAAAATAAGTGTTTTAAGTTTAAACTTTTATTAATTTATTAATAAAAGTTTAAACTTAAATTTATTTTAATAAATTTGAATATTTTTTTTATTAATCATATTTTTTAGTAAATAAATTTATTAAATTTAATTAAAATTCTTTTATTTAATTTTAAAACATAGCATTTTAAAATTTTTTAGTTTTAAAATGCTCTGTTTTACAATTTTTTTTTATGATAAAATTTCTAAAGTAAAAAAAAGATTTAATAAATTTAATTAAAGTTTCTTTAAAATGTTCGTATTACATATAATTTTATTTTAATTTCAGTTAAGTTTCAGGTTAGTTCCAGTTCCAAATACTGATCTGAATAATACGCTGAACAAAAGCGCATTATTTTCCAGTTTTTCTTTTTCATTATTTTACAGTTTCATTCATTATTTACAGAAGCGCATTATTCGTTTTATAACTACAAGTTAATAAATAACGTCAATACAAAAAAGTTCTTTTAAACTCGAGTTATAAATGTTATGTTTGGGTTTTCCTTTACCCGTTTGCCAAAGAATTTTTTTAATAAAACAAACCAAAATTCAAACCTATTAAAAATAGCGCGATTAATAAATAAACTCTTTAAAAGCCCAACTTATATGTATTTTATTTTAAAAACAATACTAGTACTAGAGCTATAAATATAAGATACATTAATTTCAAAATTATAATGATATTTATTAAAAACAAATTCTGCTTATAACATCTTAAAACACTATTTTTTTTTGGATTGAGTAAAAAAATAGTAAAAATACATTAGGTTTCACTGTACTTAAAAAAAAAAATATTTTAATGGAAATAAAAAAAAACAAAGCCGAAAAGCAGTAAATTTCGTTTCTTTACGATTTTTATTTTATCAAAGCTAATGTTTTTTTAAAAAGGGGAAAACCCAATTTATGCGTTTAGTTGTAAGTACATTTAAAAGTGTTAAATTTAAATTATTTAAAAAAAAAATATTTAAAAAAAAACAAGCATAAATCGAATGTTTGAAAGCAAAAAAAATAATGTTTAAATAAGTATAAGATTTTAATAAAAAAGAATTTTTTTTTTATCAACATTAAAACTTTAGTTTTTTTTATAACAATATTGTTCAATTTAAAGCTATTTCGTTTTAAAGCTATTTCGTTTCTAAGACTAACAATGGTTTTTATTGTCATTTAAATTTAATTACAATGAAGTAAAAACGCAACTGACAAAATTTAACTTCTAACAATGTAAATATCTTTATTCAGTAAAGTTACATTTATTCACGTTTCGCTTTTCCGTTACGCAGCGAAATCTCGTAACAAGGCCTGTATATATATATATATATATATATATATATATATATATATATATATATATATATATATATATATATATATATATATATATATATATATATATATATATTTATATATACAGTTATGGCCATTGAAATCCGACCACCAGTATCATTTTACTTAAAACTAGTTTAATGTAGTAATAAACAATTGTATTGTAGCAATAAAAGAATAACAGTAGCAATTAATGATTATAATGTAACATATCGTACATATTTAATGTTTATATTAATGTTTTTACTCTCAGGTTCATTGAATTTAATATTTAGTGGCACCACCATGTGCTTTTAAGACTGCATTAATGCGATCTGGCATTGAATCTACGAGAGCCTGACAATATTCTGGCGTTATTTCAGTAATCCAAGCTTGACGAATTTTGTGCGCTAGATCGTCCAGTGATGTAGGATTAGTTCTGGATACTGCTGACTTTAACTTGACCCAGCAATTTTTGATTGGGTTCAAGTCTGGGGATGATCCCGCCAAGGACCCAGAACCTGAACGTTGTGATCCTCTAACCAAGATTTTACAAGACGAGATTGGTGACACGGTGCACCATCATGCTGGAATATCTCGCAACGACAAATTTCCATCAAATTTGGAACCTTTTCTTGAAGGATTTTTAGATATTGTTGGGAATTAACAGTCTGTCCCTTCTGCATTAAATAAATACCACATCGACCAGATGAAGCTATTGCGCCCCACACCATGATTGATGGACATTGCTTGACAGCTGGTATGGTATACCTTGCATTAAAACGCTGATTAGGGGGGCAACAAACTAATGAATTATGTGGAGCGAATTGCTTTATTTGTGTCTCGTCGCTGAACATTACCTGGCGCCATTTGGTTATTGACCAGTGTCTGTGAGCTCTACAAAATGCGATCCTATCACGGATGTTCTTTAAAGACAGTCGCGGTTTGAGGGCTGGACGCCGAGAACATAGACCTGCATCTTTCAATAAACGTCTTCTAATTGTTTGAGTGCTGACTGTAACGTCATTAGGTAGATCTGCTCTGATTTGTGTGCTGGATATTGTTGAATCTCTCATAGCAGCCCTGCGTATCATATTGTCTGTTTGTTTGCTAGTATCATACTGTCTGTTTGTTTGCTAGCTTTATGTTTTCTGGGCGCAGTGGATCTCGTGTCTTTGATTAATTGTATAATACTATGAACAGTAGATTTTGGCATTTGCAATCTTGCTGATATCTGACGCTCACTTGCACCATCCTTCCATAAAAGTTTTATATTAGCACAAACACCTTTCTTCGTAGTCATAATTAAATTGTGACAGTTAAATGATAATCCATACCCTACAATGAGATATATAGCTTATTAAATTTTACAGTGCAATAAAATAAACGCTAATGTGATTGGCTAAAAGCTAATTAACTAATCATTGATGTCAGGGAAGAAAATAAATTGATTATTCGCGTGCATAGACTGTTTTTCTTTATATTCAGCAGTGGTCGGATTTCAATGTCCATAATTGTATATATATATATATATATATATATATATATATATATATATATATATATATATATATATATATATATATATATATATATATATATATATATATGTATATATATATATATATATATATATATATATATATATATGTTTTTTTTTTTCTAAAATGATAGACTGCCTGCTCTAACCAAACCGTCAGTCAATGTAGCAGCACTCCATTACGAGTCAGGCTGTAAGATAGTCGATGTAGCAACACTTCCTTGTAGCAGCAGGATATAAGATAGTCAATATAGTAACACTCCGCACATATTTTAATAATACTTTTTAATAAAACAAAAACGATAATAAAATTTTCCCATATTCTCAAGGTAGTAAAATTGTAGTAGAACGAGACTTTTTTTTTTACATTAAAAGGCCCTTTTGACTACAAGATAAGGATATATATATATATATATATATATATATATATATATATATATATATATATATATATATATATATATATGTATATATATATATATATATATATATATATATGTATGTATATATATATATATATATATATATATATATATATATATATATATATATATATATGTATATATATATAAATTCAATCATTTTATAATAAAAATAAGGTGCTCATTTACCCCAAATTGTGGGGTAAATGAGCGCACCCGTATATATATATATTTGTATATATATATATATATATATATATATATATTTGTATATATATATATATATATATTTGTATATATATATATATATATATATTTGTATATATATATATATATATTTGTATATATATATATATATTTATATATATATATATATATATATATATATATATATAATATATATATATATATATATATATATATATATATATATATATATATATATATATATATATATATATATATATATATATATATATATATATATATATATATATATATATATATATATATATAGGTTTTGTCCTAATCATGGAAAAAAGAGCTCCATAAGAAGTATTCCTGATGAGTTAGTTGCTTTGGCAAATATAGTTATCCCAAAAATGGTTAAGTGTTTGTACAAGAAAGTTAAATCTCAATGTATAAATGATGCAAATGAAGGTGTGTTTACTTGAATCTTTTATTTTTATTTTTATTACACTTGTTTATTTTATTATTTTGTGACTTTAGAATAATAGGGTTTTAATATCCCTTTTTTAATGTTTATAAAATTTAACAAATTTTGTTATATTATCTTAAAATGTTAAAATTAAAAGTAAAATTGTTAAATTCATTCAATTAAAAGATCAAAATATCAAATTTGTTAAATTGATTGCTTAGTACAAACATTATATATTATTTATCAAGTAATATAGTCAAAATAGCATATGGGCAGATCTCTCAATTTTTATCTTTATATTTGCATATATGTATATCTAAACATCTAGGTATATCTGTATATATAAGCATCTATGTTTTATATTTATACAAAAATATTGAATTAATCTACCTTTTTTACTAATGGTCCAAGGTTCTGTAAAGTATATTCAGAATCCTGGTCTTATCATTGGCACCATAATCCTAGTTGTTAGTTTTTTTACAATCTTGTTGTTTTGATACAAATAGCTTTTTTAAATCTCAGTGTTTTACAATGTATAGATAATGTTTTAAATAAGCTCTTTAAAGAGCTTATTTAAAATATTACCTCACACACTAATATTATTTTATTATATTTTGTTATTTGTTTTGTTTGTGAAAAGCTCCTCACATACCAATATTATCTTATTATTACTGCTCACACAGCAAGATTTTTTGCAATAAGAAGTCTTGTTTTGTTATTTGTTTTGTTTCTGAAAAGCTTCTCACATACCAATGAATCATTGCATTGGATATGTCCTTGTGGACTCTTTCTCATTTGTCAATAAACTAAAAAAAAGTTAAGGACTTCTGTTTATCTAGTTTCTTTTAATGTAAAAGGTTTGTTTACAAACTTCTTTTTGAGGAAACCACCATTGCTATTGATATAATCTCAAAAAATGACTCAAATATAAATTTTCTAAACAGGAGTTAAAAATCTAGATTCTGATTCAAGATGCAAGAGGCGAGTTCTATAGACAAAACTAGACAAAAAAGAATTTTTGGAGTACTTAGGAACAGTCACAGTAAAAGGATGAGGCTAAATTGAATGACAAGTATCTTGAGAATGAATTTTAGTAGATAGCACAAGAGACGCTCTTTAGAGCAGCGCCTATTATATTATTTTGATAATTCCATTTCATATGACCCAGAAATTGTCACCCATCTCAGATTTTGCTGATTTTTACACAGTTAAGAGTAGTTAGTAGAATAAGAACTCTTTGAAAATAGGTCATATTTCAGGATCCTGAAATATGACCATTTTACTTTTAACAGATGTTGGCCAGACCACTAATGTCTCTTCAAAATTACAACATTTATTTAGAGGTTTCAAGTTACATAACTTTAAAAATATTCTTTTTACTTAAAAATTTGCACCTGGCTATTTTCAACAGTGGTGAATCCAATGAAGTGTAGAAAATTATTATTAAGGGTAGCGGCTTGTTAAAGCGAAAAGATGTTAAAGCAAATTTTTCTTTGTTCTTTTTTTTTTTCATACAGCCTGGTTTTTATCTTTGTTTTTAAAATGTTGCATTTTTATAATTTTTTATTAATAATTTAAATAAACATTTTATCAGCAATTTTATATTATTAATTTTATTACTTTAAGTATATTGAAACATATAAAAACTTATTTTAATTAAAACTTTTTCTAATTGTTAAAGTTTGCTAATAGAAACCAGAAACTTTTTTGCTTTAATATTGTTCGCTTTAACAACCCTGAACCTTTTTAAGTATCTGTAAGTACCCATTTAAATAAATTTAGGTAATTTTTATACACCTGATTTTGACAGTCGAGAAACCCATGTGGCCTTGATGATATTAAAAAAGTATCAATTACACATCATTCTTTATTGATTGATCTTTCAAAAAATATTTTGATATGCAAAAAAAGATTTTGATATGCAAGTATATGGACTCTATATATGGATAACATGGCATGGTCCCCAATTTTTTTGGAGCAGAGTGTAGGAATAAATTTTTCACTACCTTCCAGACTAGCTAGAGTTCTGAAACTTTTGGCATTTCTGTAGTGCTATGTTTTTCATGTTTTCACCTCCCTGGTGTCTTGGGCCCTGAAAACAACTGAAAAGTTGTTTTCAGTTTGGTTTTTGAACATTCTGTATTCAATGATCTTTCTTAAAATATTTTAAGAAAGTACATGTCTATAAGATTTTTGATTTGCAAGTATATGGATTAATATATTCATCCATCTAAAATAATGATTTTAACAGAATTTTACATTGTATAATTTAAAAATTAAAGGATAGAATCTGAAGAAACCTCTGAAGTTACAGGAAATGAAGAAGAGTGCTGTCCATCGATGACAACTCTTATACATCAATTCGTAAGGAATGATTCAATTATCTTAGATGTTACCTGATACACTATAAGAAGAAAGCTTATGGGGAAGGCCAGCATGTTAAACTTTATCAAAAGCTTTAGAAATGTCAAGAGCATTAGCCTTAACCTCTAAAAACATATCGGTTATTACTGTTAGCAAATTATCTGTAGAACAAGAAGATCAAAATCCATATTGATAATCAGAAAGTAAGTTAGCTAAGTAAGTATGCTATTAGATTCAAGTGAGAGGTTAAGTGTTTGTTAATTAAAGGCTTGAAAAACTTGTTTATGATAGGAAGAAGAATATTGGCACGATAGTTAGATGAGTCAGATCGCTCTCCAGAGTTTTTGAAAATAGGAATAGCAGATGTTGCTTTCCAGCAGTATGGAAAACAAACTCTGATTAGCAATTGTTAAATAGTTTTAGAAGGTATAGAAGACAACTCTGGAGAACACTTCTGCAAGACTACAACAGGTATGTTACCCAGACCACAAGCTGTAGGAGAGTCTAGACAGGATATTACTTTAGATTCAGAAACTGGAGTGGTACAAATGTCAAGCAATGAATGTCAACCAAGAAGTTACATAAAAAGCAAATTTGACAGCAGGAAAACAAAAGATTTCTACCTAAGGGCTAAATATAAAGATAAAGTGAAATGACTTGGTCAATTTGATCAGAAACAACATTGAAAATAGTCTTGAGATAAAGGAGAGCAATATATAATAAAGAGACATGTAATAGAATGGAGTGGTGTGAAAGCACATAAAAGAACAGTCTGTGGATTCAAATCTAGTTTCCCAATAAATAGGTGAGTTCTTATGAATGTAAATGCCCAGGCCAAACATGTTACTATTAGAGTCTTTCAGAATTAAAGGAAGATAACCATCAACACTAAGATCACAAGATGAGACAGATCTGAAATTAGTATCACAAAGAGCAACTAGGACTAGTGAACTTTGTAAGAGAAAAGCACAGATTGTACTCAGCGCACTATTTAATTGTCCAGGCAAATTGCCTCATTACTATTGATAAACCCTAAACCATAACAAAAGGGTCTAAATGCTTCAGAACCATAAAACTGAGTTTTAGAGCTGTACTCCCATTAAGAGATACTAGAATGATCTTAATCTTAAAAAATGATGACACAAGTAAAACTTATTCATTGATTCAAGAAGATTCAGCATTCAACATTCTAAACTGGAAACAATGTATCATAAATACATTTACGTTAGCCTAGTAGATGAAGAACTGGTGTGAAGCTGGTCAACAGATAGAATCTGTTTATCCCTTAAGTCTTTGCCTAGGAGGCCTTCTACAAGAAAGTAGCTGGATGCATCTAATATCTTCCCAAGATGAGAATTTTTATAGAGAAACCATCTCTAACCTTTACTCAAACAAAAGCCCCAAAGGCAAGGGTTGTTTTTAGTCAGAGTTGGCTTCTCCTAGCCTTTGCCTAAAAAAAGGTGTTGCTTTTACTTTTGCAACTTATTTTTTAGTCATTACGAAAACAAATGGTTTACAAAATAAAAGAAATAATCATTTATAAAATTGATTTAGCAAAGCTAAAAATTGAATATCTAACTATATTTGCAAGTTTTGCATTGATATTCTGTAGTGCTTTGTTAACCTGTCAACTTTGTTGAAATTTTTTTTGTAATTGTGACACAAAGACTCTGACAGTTGCAAAGCAATTTTTTTATGATCAAAAACTTAGGTAACAATTACTGTTTTTTAATATATGTTTATTTAAATAGATATAATTTGTGTTACATAATTTGTGTTACATAATTTGTGTTGCATACAAAACACTTGTGCAATAATAAGTTATATTATGAGAAATTTATAAAAGTAAAGTTTTTTTGTTTTTAATTTTAGGCAATCTTTGTTTATAAAACTTTTGTCTTGACACATTTCAATTTTATAAATTTTACATATTACTAACACAAAAAATTTTAAAAATGATAAAAATCTGTTTTTTATTTGGATGATGACAATGTATATTATTTCAATTTCTATTTGTAGAAAGTTTTTTTTTTATGAGTATTTTAAACATTTGTTTTAAGCCAAAATAAAAGTTAAATAATAAAAACATAAAAATCAGAAAATAACAAATAAAAATACGAAGATATCAATGACAAAATTTTAAAAACAACAGTAAATGTGTAAATTTTAATAAACAAGTGAGTAGAAACAATGTGATCCCACAAATGTTAAGTAATTACTTGCAGCTCTCTGAATTATGGTTTGCATTTTGTAATGCTGACCTAAAAGTGTTTAAGGTCAGCAAAAAATCGCTGACCTTGTTTCTATGTTTTATGGTAGCCCCTTTGTGTAAAATTTTTTTGTCAACCTGATGCTGACTTCTAACAGTTTAAGCAATATATGGTTATGAGGATTATGTTATGACACTTTAGCATAGTATATTAAATTTATTAAATTTAGGCGTACTTAATTCTTCTACATACCTCTTAAAAACATTGAGCGAGTTCTCAAAGATTGAGGCGCTTCGTATAATAGTTTCACGTCAAATGATGGCACTAATAAAATGTGATATTCTACCAAATAAACAATGTAGAATTTCTGATTTTACTAAAATTGAAAACAATAGACAAGTGGTCAAAATGTCAACTGATGTTAAAATGCCATCTTCAAGTACTGATGATTTGTTATGTAAACAAACTTTTGATTATCAACATGGTTTCAGACATAGCTGGCTTGGTATTGAAGATTACAAAGAAACTTATCTTCATTTTTTTATGGAATGGTTGGTTAAGTTATCTTTTCCTAACAAACTATCAACATTTCTACTTCAGTTACTCCCTATTCCTGACTACAAAGTATGAATTTTATTATAAAAATTTCTGACTTTATTGTATATTCTTATATAAATAATATGTTATTAATAAAAATCAACATAATATATATGAAAAAAAGTTTATTGATATTTTATTTGAGATCTTTTTTTAGACATTTTTCACACAATTGTTTTGTCGTCAATATACTGCGATTGGTAAAATGTTGACTACATCATTAAATCCTGATCAGTTCAGTAGTCGTATAGTTCATGTTAGTGTTCAATTGTTCAGTAATGAATCACTGGCATATAAAATGGTAAAAGAGGAGAATCTGTTAACAATAATTATTTTTGTTCTTGATAAAATGATTGGACAGTGTTTAGATTATTTACCTGTAGAGTTTGAAGGTTAATTTTTTTAAAGTAGTATTTTAATTAATATTTATTAGTAATTAATTATTAATATTAACAAAATTAATACTTAATTAAACAATTCCTTAAAAATTTATATCTTAGTAAAGTTTTTTTTATTTACCACTTTTTAATAATTTATTTTAAAAGGAGTTACAAGAAGTATACTCCTTGTTGATTGTGGCAATAAAATACTCAAAGAGCATTGTTACTGGCCAGTTGCAAGTGATCTTACCAATATTTTATCTCACCTTTCGATTGCTAAGGTTTTCCTTGAGAGCAATGATTGTTTGAGCAAATGGTTTTATTTTGTAAAGATGCTTGTTGGTGAGTTTTTTTTTTTTTTTTTGCCATAATATAAATAATTATTTAGTTTGATCAAAATGATTTATGAAATTAGTCAATGAAGTGAAGCTATTACAGATAGTTTTTTCAGTGTGAAGTTATCAGTGACATTTATTGATATAATTTATATATATATATATATATATATATATATATATATATATATATATATATATATATATATATATATATATATATATATATATATATATATATATATATATATATGTATATATATATATATATATATATATATATATATATATATATATATATATATATATATATATATATATATATATATATATATATAGCAATAATAATAAAAGCAATTTTTCGGTAGACAGTGCTCAGTACTAAAATAGAGCAAATATGTATTATATTAGAATAATAGTAAAATACAATTTAATTTGTAACATAACTCAGAGTTTCACACTTTATGCGATCATCAGACATTACAAACAACCATAATAGCAACAAAAAATATATACAAAAATGTAATACAGTGTTAGCTTAAATGATGTTAAAGTTGCAGGTAACAAATTTATTTTTGTGGGGAATTTTGATATTAATTGATTTCCTTTTTTCAATAGTTTCAAAGATGATGTAATGATATGATATTTTTTGGTTAAACAAAGTTTATATAACTTTCTTCCAGGTTTAAATGGTTTCGCCTTATCAATAATCTTCCACGTAAAAATAGGATTTGAAAATCTCTTTTTTTTATTTCCCAGATATAATGAAAGTTCTGTGGTATTAGCTTTACTTTTATACTGAAAGGAGTTTTTATGTTTGTACCAGTGATCTTTAAAGGTGTGCTGCGTTAAACTAATATAATTTAAACCACTATCCTGCAGTGACGTTTTTACATTATAGATGTAAATTATATTTTTACGAAGACATATATCTTGCAAAGGACATAGTGAAGGTTGCCGGTAGTTACAGGTTGGAATAATTGTGTTGAAACATGAATTTTTTAAAATAAAGTTTTACAAAGTTTTTAATTTTGTGAAACTTAAGTGTTGTTGGGAAATGTTTTTCAATTAGATTTAAGAAGTTTTTTGCGACGTTGGTTTTTACATTTTGCGAAAACAGAGAATTAAACCAAATAATACTTTGTGATCTTGATTTTGGTTTTGATGAAGCAAGATTTTTTTTGAAAGTAATCTTTTCATTACACCCATTTGCTGCTAACACATTGTTATAAAATGTTGCTCTATCAAAAACTGAACACAATAGTATCTGTGTCAAAAAACTTAGGATCACTAAGTTTTGACCCAGATACTATTGTGTTCAGTAAACAGTAATGTATTCTCTGAAATTTTCGTAAATTGTTTAGAGATAGAAGGATAGAACTCTTTGATATCAAACTGGATGAAAGAACAGTTGTGTTTGTCTTTAATATTGCGGAACCAATTTATTACGTCATCCATATTATGCCATTGATTTACAAGGGTGGCTTTCCTCACTTTTTTCAAGAAGATTTAAAAAGATTTTTGAAGCTCATAAATATTATGTGATTTATCTGCAAAATAAAAACATTTAGTGCTTTAATTTTATTGAAGCACACTTTCAAAGATTGCTGTTACAAACATAAAAACTCCTTTCAATGTCAAAATAAAACACAGAACTTGCTAAATATATCTGAAAAATAAAAAAAAAGGATTTTCAAATCCTATTCTTACGTGGAAGATTTTTCTTAGGACAGAACCATGTAAACCTGGAAAAAATTTATTTAACCTTTGTTTGACGCAATTAAACTTTTTTTTGCATGTTTTTAAATTGAAAAATGTGCATTTTTATTTACTTCATTAATACGTAAAAAAAAATGTAAAAGTTAATGTAAAATGTAATTTATCTTTTTAAAGTTAATGTAAAATGTAAGTTAATATTTTTATCATGTTGAATGAGTGGCACAAGAAAAAAATAAATGTAAAGAATAAATGAACGGATTACATGAACTGAATGAAATATTCTAATGAAGGAGTTTTTATAAATGAATGAATAATAAATTGTAATACAAGTATACACTTTCATTTATAAGAACTTTTTCAATCGAATATTTCATTCATTCACTTTATTTAACATTTATTATTTATTATTATTTAACATTTTTATCTATTATTATTTAACATATAATATATTCATTTTAGACTGTTAGACCTCATCTTTTGATATGTTTTGTTTTAACATTTTATAGTATAACAAAAACCGCTCATAGTTCAAACCCAAGGCACTTACACACAAACATTAATTAATGAATACACAAACATAAATTAATGAACATTAATTTTTAATGAACAGACTTTGTCTAATCATTAAAAACAAATCGTGCCAAATTCCAATATAAGCTATATTATGCACAAAAAAAAAAACTGTTTATTTCAGTATATTATTATACTTTACTATCTTGCAAATATAATAAAGGCCATCAAATATTTGTTCTTATTTCCAATACGCTTTGAGCATATTTACATCAAAAATAAAAAATAGTTATATATTAATATTGCTGCTGTTCTGTATTTTCTTGATTTACATTTTTCTTGCGAAAAGATAAGTGTTTCTTTGACAACAATGTCACGTTTCTGCAGTGCTGCAGGTTGCTCAAGCGAGGATCATAATAAGTTACCTAATATATCATTTCATAAAGTACCAAAAAATCCTGTTATTGGAACAGCGTGGAGAAAAGCGGTTGGTAAAGAGAATAGTGTTAAACGACTTGAACTTTGCTCTATGCATTTTGACGAATCATGTTTTGACAAATCTCACGAAATGATGCAACTTCTTATACCTAGCAAAATTAAAAGAATAAATAAAAAACTCCATCCTAATTCTTTTCCAATAATATTTCCATGTCAACATAATAAGGGAAAATTACTAATAGTTTTTTTGCCTGGTTGACTTTGTTTTTATATCAAAATTGTGTATATTAATCTAAAACTAGCATTCAAAGTTATATCAAAAAAATAACATTCAAAGTTCTCAAATTTTTAAAATATTACAAATGTTACTTAATTCAAACTAAAAAATTAAAATATTAGAAATATTATAAGATGAACCAATTTCGACATGTGAGGAGAATTTGCTCAAGTACAATATTGTTGCACAAACGCAGCAACTGCGAAATCTTTAGAAAAAAGACGCAAGTACCTTCACAACTATGCAAAAAAGTTATCGACACTTTGGTTGCCAAGTAAACATAAATTCACCTAAAATTAAAAATTTATAAAGGTTTTCAATTCTCTACATTTGAAGATCAAAAATCCCAAGAGTTTTGTGGAAACTTTGATGCAGCTGAAGGAGATCCATTAAACAATTGCAATGAAGTTAATGTTTCCGTTAAATTTAATCACAATTCAGATATTAATTTATCTAATGAAAGCGATGAAACGGCTGGCAATAAGGATTTACTTGAGGACAATTATGATAACAATGATGATGATGACGATGATGAGAAACATTATAATGAACCTGAAGATATTGAATACATTGATGTATTCAATATCTAACTATGATTCTGATAATAAACGTATAATGTCGACGATTTAGAATACACCCTTATTTCATCAGATGAAATGGATACTGATAACGAAACAAATACTACAGATCCAAAAATAAAAGGAATGTGTAACGATCGATCGCTGTTTGTTTACAAAAAGAATTTATAAGAGCCATTAGCACATTGTCCAAAGTGCGGCATTTTTGTTGATTGATCTATGATAAAAGAAATTAAAAATAATGGCTTGCAGCTTTGCTTAAAAATTACATGTTTTAATGAGTGCAAGGTTGAATGGAGTTCACAACCAACAGTGGGATGTTTATAAAAAATAGCAGGCATTTTATAACTTTATTTCCTTATAGTTTCATAATGTTTTAAATGAAGTTACGAAAAAATTAAATATGTGCATTCCATAAAAAAAATAGGTGAATCTAGATGAATACATAAACAAAAACTACATTTAACTAACTATATTTTTCTTCATCTGCCCCATGCTTATTCAGGCCCTGCACTAATGAATTACCTTATCATTCCTAAAAGAATACCTAAAATCAAAAAACCCATTTAAAAAAAAATTAATTTATGTGTGCTTTACATACATTACATAACAGTGCTTTACATACATTACATAACAGTGGTTTTAATTTAAAAAAAATAGAAGAAAAAATAACTTGCACGAGTGACTTATTTTTGAAAAAAGAGGTCTGCTGAACAACAGGGTTTAATAGGGTTAATGATTTAATAAGGTTTACACTCCTAAGCTGGTAAAAAAAAGATGCAGAAGATGGACTAGAATCTATATCATATAATACTGCCAAAAAGAATTTTATCTCACTATGTCTAATTTTTGTGATTATGCAAATAAATTCATGGTTGAAAAAACATTTTTTGGATTTTAGTTTGAATTAAGTACAGAGAAATATTTTGTACTTAATTCAAACTTAAAATATTACTTAATGTACTTATTTAAATTATAAAATATTACATCATATTATAATATTTTAAAAGAAATTAAAAAAAAAGTTCAAAAACAAATTTATTTCAGTCATTTTTATGGTTCCAAAAGTGCCGGTTATTCTTATTGTTGCTTGATTTTAACATTTAAAGAATTCCAAACTTGCGTACGTACTTTATGGATGGCTCTCTAAGGAAATATTTTAAACAAACTTTCATGTGTCTACATCAATATTCGTTTGTTAAAAACTGACTAAAAAGAGTTTAAAATTTGACTTCTATTCATTCTATTCTATTGTTGGCCGTGGAATTGCCCTTATAACCCAAATATATAAATAAAATATGTTAAAAAAAAATTTAATATACAAATATATTTTCACAAAATGCTACAAAACTTAATCTTGTAAGTAATTATATTTTAGTTAAAAAAAAAATTTAATGTCTTTACTTTTAAATTTAATTACCAACTCATATATTTGCAATAATGACATTTTGTCTACTTTGTTTAACTTGACGTACAATCGTAAGT